ATTTTTAGACAAATACCGCCTCCATTCCCTTTTTTTTTTTTTTTTGTCGTTTGCTACTGCTTTTGTATTCTCACTTTCCTGACCTCTGTCTAGCCAAACTCGCTTTAATTCTGAGCTCAGGAGTTACCTCTAGAAAATCCATCCATGATAGCTTTTATTTATACTCGTTAAACCTCACGGCCTAGCACTTAGAAAAATTCAATGATCCTTGATTAAGATGAAGGAAGACAAAGATTATTTCAAAGATTGCTCCATCCAGTCCAGGAGCAAAAGGTTTAACTTAATAAAGACATATATGTAGTTCATGTGGTAAAGATACAGAAGAAATATTGAGAAAAATACTAAAGTAACCCAGAAGAAGAGACACCTATGTATCTAGGGAAAATAATCATAATCAAGGAAAACTTCACATCACAGACTGAGTCTTACAAAATGGATTTAAAAAAAAAGTTGTCAGAAAAGCAGATGAAGACATCTCGGATTATAAATAAATAACAGTAGTATTAGAGACCGTTAATGATAACACACTTATTGGGTTCTTTAAAAGTAGTTATGATGAGGTAGAAAATAATGTGTAGTGTGGATTTATGTATTTCTGTGGTATTTTAAACATTTCTGAGAGTTCATCTGTGCTGAGTGGATGAATTCATGATGAATATTTTAAGAGACCTGTATGTCTTCCATGTGGTTTCATCTAATGTCTTTCCAAATGATTTGTTAATTTGGGGATAATTAAAAGTATTTCTGAAGCATTCAGCTAAAAATTAGGCTTAATTCAAATTCTTCACTTGGAAAATAAATTTGTATTATTCATTTTTATTATTTTCTATTTTATAAAGTTTCTTACTTTTTATGTAACCATTCTAAATAGTTTATTTTACCTTTGTATATACATTTTTTCAGAAATACCAGAAGAAGGGCAAGAAAGGCTGGATGGCTGTGAAAATATCCAGGAGCAGGTGGGTAAAATTTTACATTTATATGCCTGGTTTAATATTGTTTTGTTTGCTTTAATATGGCAATTTAGGCCAAATGCATTTACTTTTCTTTTAGTAAAGAAAAGAGTAGTCTTTTAGATTCAATAAATCACAATTTAATTCTTTATAATTTTGGTAATTATGGACAAGCTATTCTAAGAATCTGTAGTATTTTATAGCTAAACTTTAGCATTGAGCCAAAATATTTTCTGAACAAGGTCTGTGCTTCCACTTGTATAATCTCCAATGTTAGAAACAATGTAACAGTGACAACATTGAGTTTCACACAGTGATTGCCCAAGTGCCTCGGCATTGGAGTTTGATGTTACCAATTTCTAGGTTAAAGATTCAGTTGCCTCCTGGTCTCTAATAGATTCAGTGTCTACACTGAGGTGTCATAGAATCAACCCAATTCAGAGGATCATGCCTTCCAAAATGATACTGTTGGGGTTAAGGTACAAATAATAACTTTCTTTTTCATTTTAATATAAGAAATTGGTAATTATTACTAAAATGTTTTCATCCCCTGTCCTTAGTGCTGAGCTAGAACATGTTACAAGTGGACTTAACACAGGTAGTTCATATAGACTCATAACACTTGCATACACTGTCATTTGAGTCATTCTACTGGTGATTTTGTGTCTTTGTAATTTAAAGTTTGTCTATACTCCAGCTACTAATCTTTAGAAAATGACTTTAATGCACTGTAAGGGTTTATTATTTAAAAATAGTGAGGTAAAATATGAGAAAAACTTTATGATATTAAGCATCATCTAATTTATTTCTGGTAAATTTAGCACATACTTAAGTATAGTCACCACAAACATGGAAAAAGTTATGTTTCCTGGTTCATATTTTTCTCTTGTTTTAGGGTATGGCATATTATTTTTCCTTTCTTCTTTAGAATTCACTGAGGAGGGAGTAACTAAGTATATGAAGAAATAAAACCAGCTAAACTTTAATTTTTCTAGTTTTCTAATTTCCAAATCTTTTGATTAAGAATAAGATTATTTTAAAAACATTGAGATAATTGACCATGTGAAAGAGGAAGAAAAGGGCTAAAGGTGTAGGGAAAGTGGGAAGGGTAGGGGATAGGTAATAAGGGAAAAGAAAAAAACTATGAGAACATGAAAATATGGAAATAAATTGTTTGTAAATATGGAGGGGAGGAGGGGTGAAGGGAGGATAGGGACAATAGGGAAAAAAATGAGAACCAAGACCTGTCCTGTAAAGGTACAAGATCCAAATAATGAATACAACAGTACTGTATCCCTAAAATGTATGAATAAACTGAATGAAAGAATGCACCTTTACAGAAAAGGCATCTGAGAATCCAGCCAATGAAATTAATGCTCCACTTTCACATCTGCAAAAAATGTCTCAAGAACCAGAAAGGAATATGGATAATGACAGAGGGAATATATCTCCACCCTTGGGACCTTCTTATGTGAAAAAGCATAGGAAATACTGATTCTGAAATACAACTTAGAGTAGAAAAATAATGTACATCTCATCCCAAATTAGTTAAAGCAGAGGATTGGTGAAATCTTTGAAACATAACAACTTGCTTTGTTCTGAGCAAGAGCCATCACTTGAAAACTCTAAAGGTGGAACAAACTTATGTTATTAGTAATGTTTATGATGTATAATAAATACATGCATCTTGGGGAGTTGGTAAAGGTACATATTGCATGCAACCTAGTCCTTTTTGCTTCTCCTTCTGATCCTCTTCTTTAAATCCATCTCCAGATCTATTTCTATTGCAAAAGATCTATCTCCATGTATCATGTAATCTTTTACTTTGCTGTTTGAATTATTTATACTTTGGGTTTCCCGTGTAAGAGAACCCATCTGATACATGAAGCTTCTATGACCTATTTATTTCACTAGCATGATGGTCTCAAAGAATATCCATTTTCCTACAAATAACTAAAGTTTATTCTTCTATATATCTGAGCAGAACTCCCTTGAATATATGTGAGTGTATATATCACATTTTCTTTACCCATTCATCTGTTAATGGACATGTAGTCCACTTTCAAGATTTAGCTTTTATGGTTTATCTTACTATTAATAATGGGTATGTGTGTTTCACTGAAAGGTAATGTCTTTAAGTCTTTGGGAAAGATACTTAGAAAAAGCATAGCCAGATGAAATGGAATTTCTAGTTTTAGTTGTTTAAGGAATCTCCATAGTGATTCACATGGTGGTTACACTGGCTTACACTCACACCAACAATGTAGAGCAGTCTCTTTTTTCCCCACAGCCTCTCCAGCACTTGTTGTTTTTTGAGTTCTTGACGTTTGCCACTCTTTCTGGTGTAAGGTGGGGTCTCAATGTTATTTTAATTGGGATTTCGCTAGAGACCAGTGATTTTGAACAATTTTTCACATACTTATTGGCCATTTGTATTCATTTTGCCCATTTTTTATTGGGACTTTTATTTGGGGAGGTCTAATTTTTCTTGAGTTTTATAATTGTAGGCATTAGTCATCTGAGGACAATTTTTCCCATTCTGCGGGTTGTTTCTTCTTACCTTTGCTGTGAAGAAACTTTAATTTGATATAACTGGATTTGTTGATTCTTTTTGTAAATTTTTAAATTTATTAGTACATTTTGCTTTTCATGTAGTTTAAAATCATCTTGGGAAATGGCTACATGTACAGATTATAGCATGTTATTTTCTCTTTTTTAAAATCCCCTTCTCAGAGGTCCCCTCCCCTCCCATCTCTTCCAGTTTCTCTATCCCATTTTTCATTCCTGTTGCTATTATTTGCCTTGGCTCATGTTATGGCACATAATGTTGCCATTAATTGGATGATTGGGTTCCTGTACATGGTATATCTGTATTATTCCTATTTTCTCTTCTGCTCCTCCTCACCCCTTGCCCTTGTTCCCATTCCCTATTGCAAGAGATCCATCCCCTTGTATCTTTCTATCCATCCTTTGTCATTTTCTTTGTTTCTACTTTGCCTCACTCGAATGAGAGAAGCCATACCATACTTAAGCTTGTTAGTCTGGTTTATCTCACTCACGTTATATTTTCCAGGCGCATCCATTTTCCTGAAATTGGCTCAGATGTGTCATTCTTTATAGCCAGTTAGTATTCCATTATATATAGAAACCACATTTTATTTAACCATTCAGCTGCTGATGGATATACAGGCTGCTTCTAGGATTTTGCTCTTAATGAATTGTGCTGCTATAATCATTGCTATGCATCTGTCTCTATCCTATGATGTCTTAAGCTCTTTGGGAAAGATACCTATCAGGAACATAACCAGATCACATTTGTTGATTCTTGGCATTACTTCTCATGCAATTAGAGTTCTGCTCAGAATACCTTTGTCTATGTCTGTCTTCAATAGTTTAGCCTCTTTTATCTTCCAGAAGACTGCTCTGTTTTAAAAATCAATGTGTTTTACCCATTTTTATTTTAGTGCATAGAGATATGGATCTGGAGTCAATCTTCTGCAAGTGGTTAACGTGTTCTCCCACACCATTTTTAAAGAGGCTGTCTTTCCTCCAGTATGTGTTTTTGGCCCCTTTGTCAAAGATGAGATGTCTGCATGTGCTCAAGGCTGTTTCAGCATCCTCTGCTCTGTTCCATTGATCTACATGTACGCTTTGTGCCAGTACCATGCTGATTTTAGTCACTATCAATTTGTGATACAGCTTGGGCTCTGGAATTATGTTGGTGGCTCTCTTCTGGTTCCACATAAATTTTGTAATGTTTTTTCTAGTTCTGTGAAGAATGCTGTTGCTATTTTCATTTAAATTGCATTAAATCTATAGGTTACTTTTGGTAACATGGCCATTTGGTCAATTTTAATTCTGCTTGTCCGGGAACAGAGAATATGTTTCTGTTCTCTAGTGTCTGTGATCTCCTTTATCAGAGTATTATAGTTTTTGTTGTAGAGGTCTTTTACTTCCTTGGTTAAGTTAATAGCTGGTTATTTAATTTTTTGAAGCTATTGTGGATGGTATTGTTTTACTAATGCCTTTCATAGTGTGTTCATTATTGATGTACAGGAATGCTACTGATTTATATGTGTTGCTTTGTGTATCCTTCTGCTTTGTGGAGTTTGTTTATTCTTTGAGCCTTTTGGTGAAATTTTTTGGGCATTCCATGTACAGGACCATGTCATCTGCAAAAAAGGATAGTTTGCATTCTTTCTTTGGTGTATGGATCCCTTTAATTTCTTCTCTTGCCTTACAGCTCTGGCTGATGTTTGAAGTACTGTATTAAACAGGAGTGGTAAGAGTGGAAAACTGCCTTGTTCCTGATTTTTGGAGAAAAGCTTTGCAGTTTTTCCCATTTACTCTGAAGTTGACAGTGGATTTGTCACAAATGGCTTTTACTAAGTTGCTATAAGGTCTTTCTGTGTGTATTTTGCTCAGGGTATTTATTATAACTAAATGTTGGATTTTGGAAGAGTCTTTCTCTGCATCTGTTGAGATGGCTGTGTGGTTTTCATCCTTGCTTCTGTTTATATTATATTTTGCACTTAGCAATTTACATATACTGAACCATCCTTGCATCCTAGAGATGGAGCCGGTTTGATCATGACATGTGATCTCTTTAATGAATGGTTGCATTCTGTTTGCCAGTTTCACATTGAGGATATTTGTCATATATATTCATTGAAGAGATTGGTGTGTAGTTTTTCTTTTTTGTGAAGTTTTTTTTTCAGGTTTTGGTATGGGGGTAGGACTAGCTTCAAAGAATGAGTTAGACAGCACTCCTTCCCCTTCCATTTCATTCAAAAGTTTGAAGAGTATTGTCATTGGGTCCTCCCTGAAGTTCTTGCAGAATTGAGCAGTGAGCCCATCGGGTCCTTTGCTTTTCTCAGTTGATAGTTTTTGGGGGGTGTTTTGTTTTGTTTTGTTGCCCAGTTTCATCACGTGCTACTGGACTATCTTCTTGCTTTTGTCTTGGTAAATCATATGTGCGTAGACGTCTATCTGTCTATTTCTCCTACAGTCAGCCAATTTATTAAATACAAGGTTTCAAAGTAGTTACTTATAATCTTCTAGATTTCACCAGTGTTCATTGTGATCTTGCAAGATCATCAAAGTTTTAAGTCTGAGTTAGGCATGTTACAAGGAGAGTTCTTGGCTTTGGAGAAAAGAAAGTTTAAGTTAGCTGAGCATGGTGGTACTCTGGGAGGACAAGGCAGGAAGATAGCAACTTTGAGCCCAACCTGGGCAACTTCGCAGCTTACCAAAACCCTGTCTCAGTATGAAAAATGTATAAAGGGGAAACAGCTCACTGTGGTGATCCTGGGTTCAACCCCCAATACTACTCTCCCCCAGATGAGGTAGGAATCAGCAGATGTCGTGGTCCACACTTGCAATCTCAGCTACTTAAAAGCAGAGGCAAGAGAATTACAAGTGCAAGCCCATCCTGGGCACCTTAGCGAAACCCTGTCTGAAAAATAACAAGGCCTAAGAAGTAGCTCAGTAGCATAGGGATTGCAGAGTGTGCAAGGGTGATTTGCATACTGCTAGTCCATTTCTCTCTTTGCCAGTTACATTCTCATTTTCTACTAATGTAAAGGTCATGTATAAAATGGGGTTACCTAAATATAAAAATGTGTCTGGAAATAGATAATTCCTGCTATCTAAATTATAGGAATTCAGATAAACATTCTCATAATAGTTGTTTAGTACTGCATCAGTCTTTCTGTGAGTCTGCCAGGTTGCATGTAACCTGGGAAGCTAATTTACCCACATGCCTTGTGACCTGAATCAAGCTAAGCATAGAGGACGTTGCTTTAAAAATGATAAAGTCTAGGGTTTTATTTTTCTACTGGTTTAAGGATAAATTGCATTTATTATGTTTAAACCATAAGAGGCATCTGAAATGGAACAGAAACAGTGGGTGAGAAGAGACGTAAAAATATATCTTTATGCTATACAAGTTCATCTATCTATGCAAATTTATTTTTGTACTCAGATCATTGGAATGTATAGTCCCAAGATGACCACTTTAGGTGATTTTAATAAGCCTATATCCTTCCACATATTTTTTATTACTGCTCTTAAATTTTGTTTCCTTTAAATCACCCCTTTACATCAAGTTGTTTTATAAAGTTTTTTTTTTCAAGTTTTTGCATATAGGATATTATCATGAGTAGCATAAATCCTCAGTGAAACATTTGGTATTTGACTCCTACAAAGCAAACTAAGTTCTGAAGTACACTAATTTTAAAGACAAAGAAAAAATCTAGAGGTATTTTTAAGAAGTCGATGAGGCTTCTCATACCCCCACAAAGCCATTCCATCATTTTGCCAAAAATCACACTTGCAATTCATTGGATTGATTTAAGGAGAATTCATCTTATAATTTGTCGAGTCCATCAGTATGGAAATATATCACCTCTTTTGGTGCCATAAAATGCAGGGCAGTGCCACTGAGGAGCTTTGCAGGAATCATTTCAACTCAGTCACTCCCATACTTCTTGTGTTGTGGCCAACTTTGGTTTGAGTATGTATTTCTGTGAGTACCTGCACTCTTGAATTCCCAGGTCAGTATCCAAATGGAAATCCAGAAAATATAAGCTTCCTTTTGTTACTCAAAGCCCCACAATAGCACATTTTCTAAGAGAGAGAAAACACACTTTGTCTTTTTCCTTTTTTTCTTCTACCAATCTTACAGGGAAAGAAAATGTTGGATCACAAAGTGAATGAAAAGAAAACCATACAATTATTCTTTTTTGAAATTTGGAAAGTTTTGTTTCATTTTGTTTTGTTTTTTAGTTAGGTATGTGGTATACATTTCTTTGTGCTTTAATCGACTACTTCCTTTTAACAGTGTTTTTTCCTTAAAGGTTCGTTTTTCTTCTACCAATCTTACAGGGAAAGAAAATGTTGGATCACAAAGTGAATGAAAAGAAAACCATACAATTATTCTTTTTTGAAATTTGGAAAGTTTTGTTTCATTTTGTTTTGTTTTTTAGTTAGGTATGTGGTATACATTTCTTTGTGCTTTAATCGACTACTTCCTTTTAACAGTGTTTTTTCCTTAAAGGTTCGGGTATCAAACTTTTAGACCCCCCCCCAAGTTTGAGTTATAAAACATAATGAAATATATGTCTAGGTGTTAGGGGAATAAAATGACACCCTGAGTCACCTTTCTCAAGAACAGAATTCCAGAATGTTACTAGATGGGATTCTGGAAAATTGTTTTTGTAAACAAAAGGAGATAGAAATAGCCCCAGAGAAAATGAGTCCTGAGGCCATTTTCAAATGCCTGTGTTTGTCTTTGTACATATGCTAAACTACAGATATATATGGAAATCATGGAAGATTTTCAAACAATGTATGTGTGTACTAAATACAGCATATTGGTACCATTATGCACCAATGGCTGATACCACTTTGGACTTACAAAGTAATGATCTTCATTGACATCCACTGGTCTGCAGCAGTCAAGCGGTCAAATTCACAGTGGCCTTGCCTTGAGGAAAGGTTTTTAATAGTTCCCATAGGCCTTGATGGTTTTTCCGTGGCCTTAAATCCTTGTCACTAACAGTAAATGTTGCAGTTTTACACAGTGATTTTGCTATATTGGTGTGTCAATGTAGAGGTTTTTTTATGACTACCACTGTTGGGTGAGAAGGAAAAATATGGCCAGCAGACATCCTATTTTGGATGGGATTTCTTCACTTTTGGGGAGAATGACAGTGTGTTCCAAGTAAAGAGCTGGTATTTTGTTTCCATTAAAATATCTCAGTGTCTTTTCCTGTCTCACATTTGCTAACATTTCAGACAGTGGAAAGGAGACAAAAAGTTATTGCAGCAGCACGTTATCTCAGGATTTTCTAAGAGGAGTGCTACCAGTTTTATCACAAGTTTTATTTACCACAAGCATTTTAAAATGTAAACCTTTTTTATTTGTATATTTATAGTACAGAAAAAAACTGGTTGGATGAAAGAGTACTAGGTATAGAGTCAAAGACCTGGGGAAATCCTGTGGTGGGTTTGCTTCTATTTTAACATCTCTACAGAATTAGATAACTAAATGAGATCTTGATGTATGTAGACATACTTAGTGTGGTACTTAGAGTGAGTGTTTATTAAAAACTAATTCTTATAACTGACTACAAAAATGTTAAAAAAGGATACTATATGATATTTTCAGGTTAAAGAAACTAAAAGAACTTTACAAAACTTCATCTGTTACAATACCTGTAGAGCTTTAGGCCTTTACTAAGGACTGGCTATATACATTAGATATCAGAATATAAACCTAAGTTTTAGTGAGATCATATTTTTACTTTATATCTTGGATCTGTTGTAATTCAGAGAAAGTTTTTCCAATTCTGAGATTCCTAAGAATTACCATTTCTTTTTTATGATTGTGGATGGTGCCTTCATTTACACTTTTTAAACTTTTGGGAGCCTATAATTCTGTAAGCTTTGACTTTTCTGTAAGATTTTACTCAGTTGTATATCTATTTATTGCAATACTTTCATTGTATAAATATGGAGGTTATTTAATATCAGAGGAAGTTGCAATATGTCATTTTATTGAGTGCTAGCTAAATGACTCCTTTGTTTTACTTAAGTTTCTGTTAGTCAAGAAGATCTGTGGCATAAAAATCACAGGTTGCAGGAGGAAAATGCCAGGTTAAGACTGGAAATAAATGCAATAAAAAAATCAAAGCCAGGGAAAGGAAAAGAAATACCTGGAAGACATTGAAATTGCACAAGAAAAGACTGATAACATTCAAAGGACAATAAAACTAAATGTGGAAAGAATATTTCAGCACCATGAACAGCTGAATAGTCTGACAGTAGTAAAAACAGTTCCAAATTCTAAACTGGAGAGTGCAAAACAAATCAAGGAAAGACTGGACACAGAAACTGAATCACACGATTCCAGACTGGCTGCTGCTGTACAGGATTATGATGGAAGACAGCCATCAAAAAGAGATATGGAACTTGCTTTCCAGAGAGCAAGGGATGAATGCACTCGTTTACAGGACAAGCTGAATTTTGATGTATCTAACTTAAAAGATTCCAGCAAGATGCTTTCCCAACAGCTTTCTCAAGCTGAACGAAATTTCAGTAGCTTAGAAGTTGAGCTCCATCACAAAAGAGATGCTCTGGAAGAAAAGATTTCAGCCTTAGAACAGGCACGGAGAGAGCAAAACCAAGCACTGTGTCAAATGAAGGAAATTAAACGCGTGCACCAGAATGAACAAATCAAAGTGAATACATGCATGCAAAGGCAGGAATCTCTAGAAGGGAGATTATCTCAACTTCAACCTTAAAATTGCATTGCTTTGAAAACACTTGGATGATGCTCACAAGAAAGTGGACGATAAAGAAAAGCCAGCAATTAATATCCAAGACCAGTTTCATGAGCTTAAAAAACAATATTCCATGCTGGAAGACAAACATAATCAGTTAATCAAAGAAAATAATCATTTAAAGGAAAGACTATGTCAGTGTGAAAAGGAGAAAGCAGAAAAAGTAAGTATCAAGAAAGGTAAATGTTTTACAAACTTGCTGAAGGAAACTCTGAGTGAAATTTCATTATGGCTAAATGTTTAATCTAGTTGGATATAAAGGTAAATCGTGTACAAATGTACTTTCTGTATCAGCTCAGAAGCATAACTTGTCTCCAAAGTGTGCCCTGAGTTTCTGAGAGTCCCTGTTACAGTGACCCGGGCAGTACACATATGTGCTCTTCAGAATTGTCAGCTGTACCTTGGAAATGTGGATGATTAAAATTTATCAGGTCTTCATTAAACATTTTTTAACTCAGAGATATATAAATCTGAATTTGAAATCCACAAAGAAAAAGTTAGATCCGAGACATTTTGGGGGGTTTTGGTGTTTAGTTTTTAGTGCTGCGACTTGAACCCGAGGCCTTGTGCACATGGTGCACATACTGTACCCCTGATTTGCACCCCAGCTGTGAAGTAATTTTAACCTTTGTGTTGTTCTATTTTAAGACCATGATGAAGAAGATGAATGGAAGTGCTCATGGGCATTTTTAAATTAAGATTCAATTAATTGGGTTATTTTGACAGTTCCTAGAAGGTTTCCCAGATGAAATGAAGTATAAGTGCCATATTGTATGATACCTTTCCTTCTGTATATGTGTGTGTGTATATATATATATTTATTTTTCCTGTTTGGTACAATTTTATTTTTATTCATGTTAGTATGACCTAAATCTGAAAATGCTTATTTTAAATTATATATTCTTATGACCTCTTGTCTCTTTAAAAGGCATGAACTTTTCATTAAATCATAAATTGGGGAAAATATGGTAATTTATAGCAAAAACATAGTAGATTTAATCTTTTCACTGGTACATGTCATTTAGTGAACATTTTCCCAAGTAACATTCTTGTGCTTTGCATTTTGAGGCTGTCCCTATGGTGTAAAGGGTATAACTTTATCCAATACAAAGATAATTGTAGCAATATGTGATATTACTTTGACTTTGAATCTCCTTTTTCAGGCTAAGGAATTCAGGTAGCTGGATTCCTGTACATATAGCAGGAAGGGAGTGCTTAGGGGAGAGAGTTGTATCATCTGGGGTCGGGGAAAGAGGTGAAGGTCATGTTACCTAGGTACTGATTTTTATTACGAGGTAGGCATCTGCTGGAGGGATTTGAGCAGAGGGTCAAATATAAACTGTAATATAACTTGAAAGTTAATTTGAGTCTCTCACAAAAATGAGGGAAAATATGTGGGAATTTACCACCACCAGTTCCACCCATCCACCCATATCTTCTTGAGACTTAAGTAGATTATTAAATATTGTAAATTCATCAGAGAAGGAGTGGCTAGAGTGTTGACTAGTGTCCAATAACAGGAGAGTGATTGAGTAGGAAGCCACCACCTTCCATGCCCCGATGTGAACTCGGCAAGGAACAGGTGCATATACTTGAAGACGATTTGGAAAGATTAACTGATGTACATAGTGATATTTTTCAGAATATATGTGAGTTACATATTAACATAATGTCATAATAAGGTGATTTATGAAATCAGAAACAGAAATATCTCCTCAGATAGTTGTGAGATACCTTCAACAAGGACTGGCTGACACCCTAAAAAAACAGTCTGTGTCAGAGGCTTCCCTGGAAAATTCATCACATTATCACATGAAGTTAGAAGATGAGAATCGGGATTTAAAGAAGAAATTAAGTCAAATCAGAAGACAAATATGTTTGAAGTTTAACATATCAACAGTTACTCTGCAGCTGCTTAAATAGTGTAAAGTGTTTAAGGATACTGCTTTCCATGGATAGCTTTCTTTTGTTTTTTCATTATATTTATTATAATTTTATTATCTTTATACTATGTTACTCTTATGTTCTTTCTGCCATTTTTCTTGTAATTTCCCACAACTTTCATTAAAATACTTGCCATTTGGAAAGTTGAGAATTATATTGAATTGGAGAGACTTGTTCATGTTAATCAATATTTTTAGTGATGTCTCTTGTCGTGGTGATATAGGCAGATTCAGTCAGAGGATAACATTTGACAAAATATTCCAGGACCTTGTCTGTTTCCCTCACTTTTATGATTATAAAATCTTTGTATATTTATTTCATGGATTTCAGGATGAGTTGCATAGAAAGTGCTTTTCTTTCTCAAAAATGCAAGTGTTTTAGTATACAGATATTCTTCCTTTAACAATCTACTTGTTAAACAATTGTTCAGCTGTTCAGCCTTATAGCCTACTCCTTTGACGTGCAACCCATCTCTTTTTTTGGTACAGTTCTTTACATCTTGTCTAGAGAGACTCAATACTTTTTTTGTGTGCAGTACAGCTTATTTATAGAGTTATGTCAGTTTTGCTGATTTTATTGTATAATATAGCACTATACTTTTAGGTTCTGTTACACATTACAATATTGCATGTAACAGTTGTGCAGATAAAAGCAAAGTCATCAAGTAGGAGTTTCCTTTGACCACTTATCTACCCTGAATATTGTAATGTATATGCTACGTACAGTTGCTCATTTAGCAGTGTTCCTTAGTCCAAGGAATATAACTCGGGTGTTAAACAAAGTGTTTAAATTAAAAACTATTTCAAAAGTTGTGCATTTCCTTCATTTTTTAATTTTAAAATAAAGCTATGGAAGTATTCAGATCATTTATTTATATCTAAAATGAAGAATTAAGAAAATTAAGTTCTGCCATTGGATTTTTCTTAAAAGCAACTTTTTTGAGCTATAATGCAGATACCGTATATTTCCCTCATTGAAAGTGCAAGAAATAGCATCTATTAGTATTATTTGCTGACATAATCATCACCACAGTCATTTATAGATCATTTCCATCCCCTGTTAAAGAAACCCTAAATCCAACAGCTGTCTCTCAATCTTCCCTAGTCCTAGGAAAGTGTCAAGTCTCTTTTTTGTGTCTATTTTCTTTGTCCTGGGCATTTCACATAAATGGAGTCATACACATTTGTCTTTGGTTTTTTGTTTGGTTGTTTTTGTTGTTGTCGAGACAAGGTCTTTCTATGTAGCTCAGCCTGGCCTCAAACTCACAGCAATCCTGCCTCAACCTCCTGAGTGCTGGGATCTCAGGCGTGCGTTACCAACGCTGAGCTCACATTTATCTTTTGTGATTGGCTTCTCTCACTTAGCTAGAGTTTCCAGGGTATATTTGTATTATCGCCCATTTCTTTCTGTTGTCCAGTCGCGTACTCTGTTATGTAGCTACCTCATGTATCTATCGATGAGTTGAAAGACCTATGGTTAGTTGATAGAACACTTTTGGCTGCAGTTAACACTACTGTAGACATTCACAAGATACTGTGTACACACTTTTCCCCCCTGCCCTTGGGTTTTGTCCTCTGAGTTATTGGACTGATGTCGCCTCTCTCTCTGCTTTTATTTGTTCTGTCCTCCCTTTCTGTAGTTTCTCTTCTTCTGGCCTCCAGTATGCAGAAGTGGCTCACAATTTACTCTTTTCTGTGAGGGTTTCTCTTCCCATTCTGATTCTGGTTGACCACACTGTTTCCAGCACACTGGTCTGCGGAGAACAATTTAGCTGGTCTGTAATCTTACATTGCCTTCTTTTTTTTTGTTTTTGAAAGAGAAATAATCTTGCCAAGATATAAATTAATTGACCCAAGGAGGGAGAGTAATGTCTTGGTATTCATGTCATCACCTATCCTTGAGTAAACTGAAAATATTTTTACTTAACAGTTACTAGGAAACATTACAGTTGGCCATGGTGGTGCATGCCTGTAATCTCAGCACTCAGGAGGCTGAGGCAAGAGGATCACCATTCAGGGCCTGCATGGGCTACCTAGTGAGTTCAAGGCCAGGCCGAACTACACAGCAAGACCCTGTCTAAAAATAATTAAGTAGCATATGACAAATAATTCCTTTGAAAGATTGACATAATAAGGTTTATATTATAAAGATATTTTAAGAAATATAAAATGGAAAGCAATTTATCTAAAATTAGAATTGTCTATCAAATCTTCATATTTTTCTCACCATAGAAATATCTTTCTTCATTACATACCTATACCCAGAATTTATAGACCATGCATTTGACCAGCTGAGAAGCTCTGTGCGATATACTATAATCCACACCCTGCATTTGCTTGTCAGAGTGCTTGCAAAAGCACCCCAGCAGTTACTGGGAACAAATTGATTTGGGAACCTCGATTTAACAACAAGGTCACATAACTTCAGTACAGTGGCTTTAGTCACCTCTTTTAGTCATGTCACATACATAATACTTAATCCAGGAAGCACCGTCTGCATGATCGTTACCCACTCAGTAGTGCTGAGAAAACTAGCTGTAAGTAGTTACAGATAAAGTACCATTGTCTCCTGGAGTTAATCAGTGGGTCTCATCAATTAATCCATGGGATGTGTTTTGGACCTCATGCTTTGAAATGCCGCCTTCATTGTGTATAATGGCCAGCTGAGCTTGTATAGGAGACCTCTTCCATTAGCTACCACCTGCCTAAAACATCAGATTTTGCTTTCTTTAGCCTGGGGTCAGCTCAGGAGGCACAAGGAAGCAGGAGAGTGAGTATCTCCTTCCTTCTCTCCTCCAAAACCCCCTGGACTTTTCTTGCCACAGCCTCACCCAGAGCCCTGAAATCTCCAGTATTTCCTTTTTACTACTTCACCTTTTTAATAAAACAAACTTTTTCTGGCACTGGAAACTGAACCCTGGGGCCTCCAATGAGCTACATCCTGTGTTTTTTTGGGGGGGTGGGTACCAGGGATTGAACTCAGGACCTTGTGCTTTTGAGGCAGATGGTGGCACCACTGAGCTAAGTCCAGTGCTCTGCATCCTGGGCTGTTTTTATGATTTATTCTGAGATAGGATCTCACTAAATTGCCCAGGCTGGGCTTAAATTTGCTATACTCATGCCTCGGCCTCCCTGAGTGCTGGGATTATAGACATGTGCCACTACTACGCGTGGCATGATAGATTTCTCATTGTTTTTTGAGATAGGATCTCACTATATATCACAGGCTGACCTTGAATTTACCAGGACACCCGAGGGTAGCCTCAAGCTTATAGCAATCCGGCCTCAGCCTCCTGAGTGCTAGGATAACAGGTGTGTGACACCGAGCCCAGCTCCTGTTTTAAATTTTGAGACATGGTATCACTAAATTATCAAATCTGGCCTTGACCTAGGCAATCTTCTGCCTCAGCTTCCCTAAAATATCAAATATTTTCAAAACATGAAAAACGGTAATACCTAATGGCAAAGATTTCATAAAGATTTTAGGCAATACAGTTTGTCATAGACCCTTCAAAGCTCTTTATGTATATTCCCTCATTTAATTTTCCGAGCAGTCTAGTGAGGTGTAGAGGCTGTTGTTATCTCCAATTCATAGATGAAGAAAACAAGACAAAGTTCCTCTTCTTACAATCCCACTGCTCGTAACTGGTGCAGCGGGAGTCAGGCCCAGCCATTCTGGCTTCTGTGTAGAGACTGTTTGTCAAACAGTTTCAGAAGTCATCTGGATTTTACTGAATTGTAACAATTTAGTATCACTGGCATACCTCTTGTCTGTCATATGTAAGAATTTTTCAAATCATGGTTGATGAATGGTATTTGGAATACAAACAATAAAAAAATAGTATAATGGTAGTAATATAAAATTACAACTAAATGAACAGCATGAATAAAAGAGTTTCCTCTTTTTCTGCACTTTATAAGGTTTGTTGTTGTTGTTGTTGTTGTTGTTGTATTTGTTTCTTTTCCTGTGACACAGGGATCTCCCTGCATTGCCAAAGCAGGTCTGGAGACTCAGCCTCCCAAGTAGGTGGCACTCCAAGCACATAGTACTGTGCCAGCCTTCCAAGTTTCTGTTTGAGTACCTGGTGACATAGCTAATCAGGAAGTGTGTTTCTGCCCTAGAGCAGGGATCAATAAACTTTTCTGTAAAGGGCCAGAGAGTTATTTTCAGCTATGTGGGCCAGAGGCCCCTTCTTAATGATTCGGTTAATTCTGCAGTTGCAGCACTGAGGTAACTCTAAACACTATGGAGGTGGAGCCCTATGCCTGTGTTCTGGTGCAATGGGAGCATGAAAACTCATGGTGGGCAGGTCCTTAGTAAAGTTTTTGGTTTTTGTTTTGTTTTTTTTTTAGTTGGAAGATGAACAGAATGCACACATAGAAGCACTGTGGCGTGCTGAGAGGATGCAAGAACGTCTACAAAAGTATGATATAAAGCAGTATAAAATAACTTGAGCCTTTACAAAGCAAGTGAGCAATAAAGTATGAGAAATATGTTAGATAATCAATAAATCTCCATCAAACTGTGTGAAATTCTAGCGTTGATCCAGTTACTTGAAATGTGTAAGGTAGGGCTGTCAATATAGTGCAATGGTACGAGCATGTGCTTCACAGATGAGGCCTTGGGTTCAGTCACAACACTGCAGAAGAAAAATTATCTACAACCAAGTGGGAACAGTGATAATTACCAGATCATCTACATTTCCCCATTTTTAAGACTTTGTGTATTCTTTCAAATGATCCAAAATTATGTTACTTTTTAAAAATAGGCCCATGAAAATAGTTATTTTCCAAAAAATGTTTTAGGCTTGAACTTGAAAATTCCAGGCTAAAGTGTAAAGTAAATACGCAACCAGGGAAAACTGAACAGCTTCAGAAGAACCCATTAAGGGCAAATTTGGTAAGTCAGTGTCTTTTTCATTTCTATAATAGCAAAAAGGAGTTTTTATTTCTCTAGTAGTGTATAGGAATATTTCAGGCAAAATATTTTAAGAAAAATCTCATTAATAAAAATATTTGTCATAATCATATTAATACTACCTGCTCTACTAGTAGTGAAGTCCTCTTAACTTTATATTAGGTAGTTGAATTTATGCAATGAATGACTTTGTCAGTAATATTTTAATAGGAAAGATTGTGATAGTCTAAAGTCAATATTTTATATATACCACATTTTGTTTAATCGTTATCCATTGAAGGACCTGAAAGTTATTTCCACATTTTGTTGGAAACAGTGCTGTTGTAGACATTGATATATAACTAGATATTCAGAGTCCTAGCTAATATGTTCTAATAACTTTTAAAATTCCAGGAAATTTAATTATGTGATCTAGAATTTTGAATTTTTCTTGGAATCAAAGCCTTTCCATGAGATTTAGAGTATAAATTAATTGTAATTTATATTTTTTATTTTATTGAGTTTGTTGGTACAGTTTAGGTATACAGTACAGTTACATTCATTATTGGGATCTTGTACCTTTACATGACAGATGGTCTTGGTTATATTCTTATCAAGAATAGATCCTAAGTCATAGGCAATTTTTCCCCCAAAGAAACATTTATTTATCTTTGACTGTAAGAAAATGAAAAAGATGTCAGTAAAACAGGAGAAATGGCTGTTTATCTTACAGAGTAACTAGCACTACTAGCATTGTTGTTTCAGAATTTTTTCCAGCCATTTGTGCTTATCAGGTGCTCAAAGATGTAGCAGTGCAGAGATTAATGTACAAGTCTGGTGAGAGTTTGCTGATGTATGATGAAAGGCATGTAACTGTTGACCAAGCAGAGCCAAGTCTCCTGTTGTTTTTACTGTCCCATGTGGAAATTAGGGCCAGAAGATGCATTGTGTGTGCAGAATTGGAGCTGTGAGGCAGCTCTTTCCACTAAGTGATTTCTTAAAGTCATGGCAATTTAACCCATGCAGCTCCTTTACACAGATACATGTTGCTGTGGCTTGTCTCTAGATGTCCCCAAAACCTCACGTGGTCCTGGGTGGGGTTTTATCAGAGGTGGCTGAATCTAGAGTGTGTGATGCTGGGATTAAGGGTGTGTGATTGCTAAATTGGTCCACTACTTGGTTTGGCATAGTTTTGGGAACAAGGACATGATGTTAGGATTAAGGGTGTGAGTGCTCCCCATCCCAAAGCTGGGTAGCCTGGAAGGGACAGAAAGAGGCTTGTCACTTGCTGCTTTATTGCTGCTGCTGCTGCTGCTGCTGCTTGTCTGCTCTGTGATGTCCCTCTGCCATGCCACCCTGCCTTGGAGCCAGCCAACTATGAACTGAAACCTCTGCAAACTATGAGCTTGAGAGGCAGGTGTGGTGAAATTGAGCTAAATCCCCAACCTTATGTCAGACATTTTGATTCTGACTATTTTCATCCTATTTCCTTCATTACCAACTGGTGTTATTCTTTTCATGCGCATTGATTATCTTACAGCAAAACTTGAAACTGCATTGTCCAGATGTCTACATCTGGGTAAAAACAATGATTTTCTCCAGCAGGAGTTGTTATCTCTGAAAAATATACAAAAGAAATGTGAGTGTTGGGGATTTAGCTCAGCGGTGCTGCTCCCTGCCTTGTAAGTGCAAGATTCTGAGTTCAATCCCCTGTACCAAAAAAAATAAATAAAATAGAAATGTGAAACTCTAGCAAAAAAAATGGAAAGAAGTTGGAAGAAGAAGTAGTTAGCTTGAGAAGTCACATAGAAAAGAATGTGGTAGAACATGGCCAAGTAGATCAGTATAAGGAGATTGGAGAAAGGGTCATGCAGGATTTAGTAGAAAAAATTAAAAGAAGTCCATCTGGTTGTACAGGTTAATTTACTTATCTTTAATGTGCTTAAATAATTTCACTGAAAATTATATTTTGAATGATTACATTGTATGTATTTCTTCTACTTCCCTTATAACTTTTGTCTTATGGGTTTTCCAGAGGGAAGATGACATCTTGTGTCTTTGACTGAATATTTCTGTTTCATGTTAACTAAATTGATCTGTCAGAGTAATGAGATTAATCAGAGAATCATTTGATTTTTCAAGACAAATGCACATGAAACTCTTATGGTGTGACAGTTGTACAGTACTCTTAAATTGCTGTCACCTTGTTCAGTTTTTAAGTTTTTGAATTGTTTCTATTTGAATGATCAGATTGCATGACTGCTAAGAATGATTCAAAATAAGGCTGGAGCTCAGCGGTGGAGTGCTTGCCTTGTGCTGGGTTGGATCCGTAGCACCACGAAGAAAAAGAAAAATAAAAATTTTTGTGATTCAGATTAAATGCAGATCGTATTGATGATAAATTCCAGCCTCTTTTTCACATATGTAAAATTCCTTTTTGAATCATTTGCTCAAAACTAAAGAAAATAACACCAAATACCTATGAGTTATGATCAAAACATACAATGAATGTCTTAAGTATTTTAAAAATTTTATCACAATGAAAAAACACTGCCTTGCGTCCCCCTCACAATACTCTCTCCTATTTTGATCATACTTGTCCCATCATTCTTGCCACTTTCTGAAGCACTTCTGGAATCTTCTTTCATTAGCACCCTTAGTTGTGCTGTCATGGCTGTCTTGCTGTCCTGAGCCGATTCAAAATGTTTAATCTAGTCACATAGTGCCAGATCTGGGGGCCAAGGTTGATGAGGACACCTCAGAATATTCTGAGTCTACCTTCCAGTTGGATGGCAGTGAGCAGCAGCATTGACTGTGTTTGCAATCACACCTTGTAAAGATACTCCTGAAAGAGGACTTCCAGAACTGCTTCAGAAAGTGGCAAGAATTACAAGAGGAGGTGTTCAAAGGGAGGGGAAGTATTTTGAAGTGGATTTATGGCATTGCATTTTTTACTGTAATAAAATTTTGAACTGAAACTTTCCATGTGTATTTTGATCACCTTTTGTATTGGGGTTTAATTATTTTTAAAATATAATCCTTTGATCGGCTTTAGGCACGAGCAGCATCTCAAGAAAATTTGTAACAATTAAGAGACTAATAACGCTTCCATGAGAAGTCAAATGGAACTCAGAATTAAAGACCTGGAATCAGAGGTCTGTAAAATGAAAATTCAAGAAAATTCTACTAAAGTACTATTGGAAACATACAAGCAACTCTATCTAGAAGGATTCAATACTATAATTGTGTTGTTCAGTGAACTAAACAAGTAAGTCAATACAGAATAATAGAAAGTAAGTTAAGTTCATTAATTTGTCTCTAAAGCATAATGTTTAGAGACAAGTTCATGAAATTAGTAGGTTATGAATGCTAAGTAGACAATAATTTTGGAAAACAAAGTTAGTAACTGAACTTATCTTCAAAATGTTAGTCTGGGGAAGTTTGTATTTCTTAAACCTTTTATTGCTTTTTGGGTTTTTCAGACAAGGTCTCACTTTGTAGTCCAGACTGGCCTTGAACCACTATGTAGCCTACATTGGCCTGCAACTCATGGCAATCCTCTTGCCTCAGCTTCTGGAGTTCTGGGATTATAACTTTGTACCACCATGTCCAGCTTGGTTTTAGTAATCTTATCTAGGTACTCTCATGCAGTAATTCAGCTATTCTTGATGCTTTATACTTCAGACTGTTGGCATTCATTTAAGTAGAATTATTGCCAACTTTAGGTTTGGAAGATAACAACATAATATTGCTCCTCTGGGCACATTCTGTTCCTTGGTAAAGTAACTTTCCTTGACTGTGGTTTGTGGTGTTATCACTAGAGGCTGCCTGGAGACCAACTGTGCTGTGTATTTCTTCTACTCAACCTAAAGTTGTACTTGTGATATAGAGAAAGATTCACACAGGGATGAGCAGAAGTACAGCTCACTAGTGTGAATTAGTGTGAGGTGCAGGTGGAAGACAGAAGAGTTGGGCCCACCTGCAATGCCTCCATCGTGTGTCCAGCCAGGAGTGGCCCTAGTTCTTTGTGATCACTGAGCCCACAATTTCCTTCCCTGGAAGTGGTTGCTCTGAATTAGTTTTTTGCTGCCAGGTAATGGAGTGTATATGCAGGTAGGAAGGGAACCACTTGAAAATATTAAGAAATGGTTTTTTAAACCCCTAACCTGGATAACTAAATACAAAGACTTCTAACTTTTGTTTCACTTTTATTTTTTAGTTGTATAAATGTAAGGAGTATAATATACTGTTTTCCTATGTTGTGCCCACACCCCACACACACACACCCCAATATATAAGTAACTTTTTTCTTTTTTCTTGCTTTTTTTTTTTTTTTTTTTCTTGCTTTTTTTTTTTTTTTCTTGCTTTTTTTTTTTTTTTCTTGCTTTTTTTTTTTTTTTCTTGCTTTTTTTTTTTTTTTCTTGCTTTTTTTTTTTTTTTCTTGCTTTTTTTTTTTTTTTCTTGCTTTTTTTTTTTTTTTCTTGCTTTTTTTTTTTTTTTCTTGCTTTTTTTTTTTTTTTCTTGCTTTTTTTTTTTTTTTCTTGCTTTTTTTTTTTTTTTCTTGCTTTTTTTTTTTTTTTCTTGCTTTTTTTTTTTTTTTCTTGCTTTTTTTTTTTTTTTCTTGCTTTTTTTTTTTTTTTCTTGCTTTTTTTTTTTTTTTCTTGCTTTTTTTTTTTTTTTCTTGCTTTTTTTTTTTTTTTCTTGCTTTTTTTTTTTTTTTCTTGCTTTTTTTTTTTTTTTCTTGCTTTTTTTTTTTTTTTCTATTTTTTTTTTTTGCCCAATACATCAGTGCTTCTGTTCAAGCAGTGTAACTTTTTGTGCTGCACAGCGTGTAACTGTTTGTACCTAAAGTTTCAAGAATGTTCTGTTAACTCACCCATCTACCGCAATGAGCACACTTGCTCATGATACTGAGTATTTGCCTTTTACAATCTTCCCAGCGTTTATGATAATCCAGAAGTGGTCCAAACCAGATGTCGGTTGGGCAGACGACGATACAGACCATCACTGAGCACCCTTAGTGCAAGACCTGTCCCACAATATCCATGTGGCAGTCATCTTGACCATAGTTTGGTGTTTCAAAGTGGATTTCATCCACATTCTCCAAACAACAGCGTGTTGAGCAACCTGACGTTGCTCAACCAACGTGTTGAGGTTAGTGATGGTATCATCTTTCCTTTGTATCTCCTATTTATGATTTAATTCTGATTTGATTTAATTGTTCATTTAGTGAAATACTGGGCAGGGGAAGCCGCTCAGTGGTAGAGCACTGGGCTCTCAAGCATGAGGGCATGGGTTTGATCCCAGGGGAGAGGTCAGTCTGATGAAATACTGTGTTTAGTTAGTTGACTTACACATGCTAAGTGAAGATCACACTAATACGTGTTTATATAAAGAAAGGAAACCAATTTACAATTTTTGAAGTTCCTGTAGCTCTCATTTTTCAAGAGAACCTTGTTGACTCATTCAGTAAGTGTAACTGACCTAGATGTGGTACTTAAATATTTACAGTATAGAAATAACTGGTCTGATGGATGAGCACTGAAAGCAGAGTCCAAAGAGAAGACCTGGGGCTTCCTCATACACATTTTTAACTTCTCCTTTTCAAAATTGTGCTAGCTGCGTGCATTCATTGATGTATGTATGCACCTAGATTAAGGCTATTTCAAGTCAAGGTAGAAGAAAACATGGATATAAGGGTTATAGCATCATCTTTCTTCTTGGAACTGCAGTGAGGTGGAATAAAACGATCTCTGTCCTTCTGTACTCACACTATAGGTCAGATAGATCGGGATCAACATTGTAGCTTTGCTGCTAGGACATAAGTCATGGGCAGATGTGGGCATGTGAGTGCTTCAGGGATCACACACTTAGTCACACACTTGTCAGTGGAAGAAAAAGCACCTGGCATCTGTCCCAGCAGCAGCTGCTCACTTCAGAGACAGCAGACCTGATTTCATGCTGCCAGCACATCCCTGCAAGAGGGAAGTAAAAAGAGACTTAAGTCCATCTGCTGCGTCACCTGGCACTTCTGCCAGGACTAAGATTCAAATTAAGCCAGATCTCTGTATATCTCCAGTCAGATGAGAAACAGCTATATGTATGCTAGAGGGTAAAGAGAAATCTATTTTTATTTGTAATTTTGTTCTACATAACCCAAAACAAGGACAATTTATTTGTTGAATGATATGAGTAAACCAATTCTTATGATGTTCTCCTTCAAGTTCCCTGTTCTAACAACCCATATTAATTTCTATGCTTTCTATATTTATAACTGTAGAACTCAGTTTATTAGAGAGCAACTTTTAACTTCTCATGTTGAACATTATTGAGTTGCATGACAGTTTTACATATTTTTTCTGAGGTGATTTAAGAATATGTAATCTCTCCTGAATATGAGAGAAGTAACTGTATAGAACTCCAGGCTCAGCAAGATGACTGTGAGCCCATTTCTGCATGACCCATTGGCTCTGTGACTTTCGCCAAGTTGTGATTTCTCTGAGTCTGTGGTGGTGCATGTGTCAAATGAGGGATTTTGACTTTCAGTACTTTTCTAAAAACTTTTTTCAAGTAACACTTTAAAAAAATGTTTGCATGAAACTGTTACACAAAACAGAAGTAGAACTGTTTGGCTGAAGAAGGGGTGGAGGATTTAATGGGGGACTTGTTATCCATTCATCCTGCCCTGTCCTCAGTGGAACCTTAGATTTTGACACAGTTTGAAAACGAGCAGCTGTCAGACTTTTTTTTTTTTGTACTCAATACCTTCCTTGCATTTGCAGAGGTAGGTACCATGCCACTTTGTAATGCACATTTGTCAGTGTAAATGTTAATTGGTATATTTAAAGGCAACTCATATTCAATGTTTTACTCAAAAATGGTCATACCGCTAAACAGGGCTATGCAATCATAGACCTAATAAAGGTCATAGGATGAAGAGGTTCTGGACTGGAAGCACTGTGTTTCCTCTGACTGAGAGTACTGGGTGAATTAAAAGGACAATAAATGAGTTAACAGCCATGTCACAAATTTTTCCTGGGTCCAGCAAATCCACCAAAGTATAAGAACAGGTCATCTGTCAAAGATCTAATGGCACATGACAGATTCCTAATTCTGTGGTGTAACATCTTTGTCATGAAGACAAGACCGAGACCTGTCAGAAGGATAAGATCACCAGCTATCCCACCCTTCTGCCTAGGCCAGCTGTGCACAGCAACAGCCCACTCCTACTGGCTGATTTTCCCCTCAAAACTTTAGCAACATCCATGGCTGGCAGCACCAGAGCATTTCCTCGATTCCTGGACCTGTTTATCCCACAGAGTCACAGAGACTCACTCTTTCTTTTTCTTTTTCAAAGAGAAAATCCATTTCTCAGCATTCCTTGCTTACTTTTATTGGAGCAAGAAATTGTTAGGTCACTTACCAAGGACATCTTCCTAACCCACTGCACACTGTGACAGCACTGTGAAAAGTACTTCAATTGGGCATTTGTTGCTCTCCACAGAGCTCTAGGTTGGTGACTGGGCACAGGTCCATCTTATTGACATACCAGCCCTGTATGACCAAAGGAAGAGTCAAAAACCACAGACTTCTGAGTAAGGTTCAGTAGTTAACCAAGGTAGGCTGCCTCCAACACTCCATGGCCTCTAGGACCCCATCCCAAGTAAGGCTAGAAAGGCAGGCTATGACAGAAGGATCCTGAACAGTGTGCGGGCACCAAGACTTCTTGGCATCATTATTGCACTGCTCCTCCCCCATGCACAAGAACAGATTTTACAATTGGGCACTTTGTCCAACAACCACAGATTGAACTGATGGGCAGGGAAAAGCAAATCAGAAACTACCAGGAACAGTTGGCACAGACCTTAGGCTCACCCATTCCTCGGCAGGGTATCTAACCAGTTGGAACACAGAAGGTCCCAGGGCTGCGTGTGCCAGTATCAACTAAGACTAAAAACGAGTATGAGTCCTGACTCAGTCTAATAGCTGAGAGCCACCAAAAAACAGCAGGTCTTTTAGACATAGTAGTGCCAGAAACATGACACATGGCATGCACTGGGGAAGTCTTCCATTCTTTTAAGAAAAAACTTGATTAAATTTGGACACTGAACACATCAGAAACCCATCCTCTGACAGAGGCCTTACAACTTTCCATACAGTTAGTCAAAAAATAAAATAAAATAATACAGAA